TTAACATGCGCGTTTATGTCAGGATCGTGAATATCCGTTTCTACCTCAAAATAAAACACCTCGTGGAAAGTAAGACGTCATAAATTAGAAAACCTAGATATGTCATAATCGATTTCAGACCGACAGTAAAATAACTCACTAAGCAATGTCGAACTTTGATCTGTAAGATTAAAACGAAGGTATATTTAAAGTTACGGTGAAGTGTTTTCCTATGAAGATTTTTCAATGCGACTTTGCAAAAATAAAATTTGTGTACATTATACCAGTATAAGTTCCAAAATCATACTATGGAGCGCGATGATGTAACACCTCTATTGAAACGTTCAGATTTCAAAATTTTCCAATAATATGTTATGATATGGTGAACCAGGACGATAAGTTAAGACATCTACACTATCGATCTTAGGATGAATTTAAAGCCACCGATGCGTTTCAGCTTCCACTTCAACATATTGTTTAATATTACGATTATTATAACTTATAATATCCATTTAATGAAGTAAGAACCTGCTAAATATATATTTGATAGTCTTAATATTAATAAATAAAATAGTTTTTAAATATCTGTGTTTTTATTTCAAACAACATTATTTATTCACAATTATAAAATTATTTTATAATATATATACTTATTATTTTAAGAGTTTACGTTTTGATGTAAGGCGTTTTCGATACAGCTGAAAATCGGAAAATTCTGATGCCGCTAATGACGCACTTGTGAAATATGTCGGCCGTCATTTTCCATCGCATGTTCTCACAACATAATGAAAACGTGATGACGGGTGATAGGGATGTGGAGGACTGTCAGGTGGTGGTGGTAATGGTGAATAGTCGTCGTTTCTAAACATCTAAAATAATAAAAATATTTAATATTTTGTTTAAGGCAATATATTTTAATTACCTCATGCAGGTTGTTCGCCCTCTGATTTAACAAAGTTTCAGACTATTGTTCAGCTGCGATATCTGTATTTGATTGGTGAAATTTGGATGGTTGTGAACGAGTCGTCTTGTATGTTCTTAATGAAAACATCATCTCCGTCCATATTTTTTATATGAGTACATTTCTTGTCTAGTGTGGCACGAACCCTTACTGCCGACCAGAGGAAGTCGACCGATTCGCCTACACTCATGAATTACTACGATAATTCTAACTGACCTACTATGGTTGACTCAGAATGAAATTCTAGGCACCGAAACGTAGGTCATGAGATGTGAAACCTTATATGATGTAATGGTAATTAATATATAAATAAATACACAAAATATGATATAATGACAATAAATGATAATAGAAATAATTATGTAAATATAAATGGGTGGGCGCCCAAGACCCTGACAATCCAAACAATACAATATAGCCAATACCTGTTAATAAGTATATATATCAAAAAAAAGGAACCTGATGACTACGATGCCGTAACGAAGCAGGGCGGCGAGGATAACTTCCACTCGCGTCACTTTCCGGTCTATGCTGGAACGGCGACAGCTCTTCGTGGCATCAGCAGCCCACAATAACAATCAGGGCAGCGGTAATCAGCAATAATAATAATCCGTCAGATTTTCTGCGTTCCAAACACAAGCGACGGGTCGTCCACGTGGTCCAAAGGCACGCAAAGCACGCGGCGAAAAAACACACCCGACGACTTAACAGCACTACAATAGAACGCGTCGGCCGTACTTGCCGAGTGATACCCGGACTTCGCAGGTCGATGCCGTTGTACCTTGCGACGGACCGACGGAGACTACTTCAACGGCTTTGTTGTGATGAGACGGCAGGCAGTGGCAGATATGGAACCGGCAGGGCGGGAGTATCGAATATTCGCGAACGATCGATCGATATCGACCGTAATGACCGCCGATAACAGATCGGCGGCCAGTTGTAATATCCGATACCTACAAATATCCGACATCTAGGTACACACAAATCTCTTCATATTGTTTATAACTAACGGAGCGGTGAATACTTCTTTTTCACACAATGCTCTCGAAAATTGAACATTCAAGATACTGAAGATGTAAGGTCTGTCGATTCAGTAGTACTCTACATCCTTCTCGATTTTTCGCTTCGATTACCAACATATTTTCACCAGTATACACCATACTCGATAGTTTTATTTCGCAATGTCTTCTTCATAAAGCAATACTCCGCTTATGCGCATGGTGTGTCTAATATGAACGGTAAGATATGTACCGCGAGAATATTTTTCATAAAGTCTGTTGTAATAAGTACGTGCCGCGAAGAAGATAATACATGAATAACAACTTTGAATTTTCACTCGGGTCAGCCGATATGCATGTATAAACTTATAGGCTGCGAGTCTAGTGTATAGCTGGTGGATTCGATGATTCGGCTGGAAGGTGATGGCGGTACATAAGTAAGTTTTCTTCTTCACATATAACGCTGCGTTGTCTTCGATTGGGCAGCCATATTAAATCACTTGTTATTAAAATAATAATAAACGACGAAAGAAAAATTGCGGGAAAAACGGAGAGTATTATATATGTGTAAGACTGGAACAGACTAAATGAATGTCGGCTCTTGCAGATTCAAGTGCCTGTCGAATTGGATCAATATTAGGGGTAGGAGGAACGATAATAGTGTTAATAACAATAGACAATACAGACATGTTGATGCATGTCGATACTTTGATATAATTTGCATGTTGTTGATTATATAATGTAACTGCTGTTCGAATATATGATTCATATACGTTAATATATAGCGAGTACAATAATATGGCGAATGTACAATAATATGATAAGCGTATTGATAACTCGGTGTTGGAACAGGTAGTGGAATACGTTACTAATTTTCAGTAGGTAGTGGTAGGTTATGGGTTGATAGTGGTGTGCATTCAAACTCATCTGCATTAACCCGTAGCACCGTCTGTTATACCACCTGTATACGTAACTGTTTTTGAATTTGAATACCATTTATCTCATATTTCATTTCGGAGAAAAGAAATGCTAGACCGTTGTTTATAAATTGAATGTCGTCGGTTATTTCTGCAGGTTTGGTTATTGCTCCCTCGATGTATATATAACTTTCACACGGTAGAGTATAAGACTCTGAGTTATGTAAAGCAATACGTACTTTATCGTTATTAGAGAGGGCGGACGTAGAATAAGGTAAAAACGAATGATAATCAATCTGTGTTATCTTACAATCATCGACGTACCCGGCCGTTACATCTAAATACATATCGTCCATATTAAATAGCGTTTAACGAATGTAGGAAAGCTTAATTCTCCACTGTTAAAGTTTTTTTAGATTTATCAAAGTTCGGAGTTGTAATCTTGCTAATGATTTTCGTACGATTAATAGGTTTTACACGTGTAGTCTTATTCATATTATAAAATTGCAGACTCATATCACGAATCTTGAATTAATAATCGTACTGATATCAGTGGCGTATTTTCACTAATTTTTTTTTTTTTTTTTGGGGGGGGGGGAGTTTAAAATTTAAAAAAGTCGTATGATAAAGCTTATTTGTTTCATCTTACTTTGAAACAAGAAATAACAAGAGATAGAATGAATACAAACAATATAATTTTAAAACTGAAAAAATGTCACAATTTTAGTAAAATTAATTTTCAGGATAATTACATCAATTAGAATATCAGTTAATTTGTCAAATAAAATAATAAAATAATTTAAATACAATGTCATCTTTAACTTTACATGTTTCTTCATTTTAAATTTTAAATTGAAAAAGGTAAACGTGTTTTATTTTTCGCCAGTTCTTCAATTACCTCTATTGGTGTAATTTTATCTTTTGAATTTATAGATAACATAGCTAACCCGTTTAGTCTTCCCTAAAATAAAAAAAAAATAAAGATAATTATTATACTGTTATCTAATTATTTATACTAATACTTTATAAATAAATAAATAAATAGGTATCTCTGAAATAGAATTTCTAAGAGAAGTTTTTATCCTCTTCAAGTTTGAAAAAGTTCTCTCATTTGACGAAGAAGAGACCGGAAGTGTAGCCAAAATTTGAAGAAGTTTAAAAATGTTTGGGTAAATAGATATGTTACATAAAGTTAAAGCCTCCAAAGCATTTTTTGGTTTTTGATTTGTTTGCATAAGTTTTCTTTGCCATAACTTATATTCTGATTCAAATATTATGTTAGAAGATCCGTTTTCCTGTAAATCTTCAATATATTTATCTGAAAGAATCTTAAAGTCTTTGAGGTGACCGTTTTCTTGAAACAAAGAGTCAAAATTCGACAAAGTTACTTGATGGTTTATGAACCTATTGTCTAACTCACTAATAAATTTGTCCAAATAAGGAATACATATTGATGCTCTGTAAATTTGCTCTGGTGAACTTGCTGGAACGTTATTCCTATGAATTTGTCTGTTTGAAAGTCTAGGCATTTTAATTTCAATATCAAAACTTTCAGCTAATATTTTTACTTGTCCAAATAAATCTTTAAAAAGTTCTTCAGCATTTTTTCTGAGATCTTGTAACTCCTGTTTAATATCATTGGCTAGTATTACTGCTACTTTTAAGTCAATATTTGGATTTTGTAATAATTTTGATAGAGGTAATCCTATATTAAATCCTTTATTTAACACGAACAGAGATACCAAAAATTCTAAATTTAATACAGCGTTTCTAAGAGTACTTGCTTTACCCGATGTTTCACTATCAACCCATTCAGATATTATTTCTAATGATTCAATAACGTGATTATAAAGCTCTATAAAATCATTAACTGCATGAAATCTTTCGATCCATCTTGTTTCGCAACTTCTTTTTAATGTTTTTTTTTGATGATATCTCGGAAGAACTTTCAATTTGATGATGTAAAACAGATTTTCTTTTTGGATAAATGAAAAAGTCACGGACTTTACCAAAAGTTGATAAGCAATCTCTTAATTCTGCTGCACTACACGATTTAGAAACTGCCAGGTTTAATGAATGTGCTGAGCAATGTACGTACATTGCCAATGGGTGTATTTTTTTTATGTGTGCTTGAACTCCATTTAATTAATCTGACATGGATGCTGCTCCATCATATCCTTGACCTCTTAAGTACTTAGTATCTATGCCATATTTTTGAAGATTATCAATAATTAGTTTTGCCAATCCCTTTCCCGTCACGTCAAATGTTGGCACAAATTGTAAAAATTCTTCGCGGAGTTCAAGATGGTTTATTTCAACATACCTTACACATAGAGACACTTGTTCTACCCCCGACACGTTTGCTGTTTCGTCTGCTAAAATAGAAAAGAATTTTGATGCATTAACCCTTGAAACTATTTTATCAAGCAATACCTTATTGCACGCTTCAATAATTGCGGTCTGACTTGTAGCACTAGTATATTTGATTGTTCCAGGATCTTTTAAATATGATTTCAAATCATTATCACCTTGAGCCCTGTATCGAAGATTTTCTCTAAAATTGCCTTCATTGTTTATTTTGGAATCTGAACATGTTAAAATTTTTCCTGAATCTCGATGACCTCTAAGCTCTAAATTTTGACGGCCACACAAAATAATTGCTTCGATTATAGGAACTATATTTTTACGATTTTTCATTTCTTCTCTAGCTTTTCCAATGTCAATTTGTTTATCAATCGATAAAGCAGGATTTTTCACCATGTTTAAAAATCTATCTGCATCCAACACACATTTTTTGTGATATTCGAGATTTGAGTGATTTTTAAAATACTCTAACGCATGTCTCCAATTATCATATTTTTTTTATGACCAACGAGCCTAGTGACTGATTGTTAATCCCTCCAGAGTATTTGGAAAAAGCTACGCAAAATTTACAGTACGCTCCATTGTCAATAGCAGAATATACTAACCAAGAATAGCTAGAAAACCATTTAAATTGAAATTTTAAAAATCTTGGTGTTTTTTCTTTTCCAACAATAACTGCTTTTGTAGGAAAAGAAAAATTTTCATCGGGCATCCAGGTTTTATTTAATACTTCTTGTATTTCATTTTGTGTTAAAACTTTTTTTATGTAATTAAAAATATCACGGGTACTATAATTGACTGAAGAAGTACTATGTTCAACAGATTCATGAACCAACGAATCAGTATTATTTGACGACTGTTCAATATTTTCTTGGGGAGTTGAACTTGACGTAGATGATGGAGATTTGAAAAATGACTGTATATTTAATTGTTTTTTTTGAAGACATTTTTTGAAATAGTGAGATAGTCAAATAATTCTTATGGAGTCAATTTTAAATAATTTAAAATGATAAGAAAATTGTTTGTAAATAAACACACAAAAACATACAGTTAAGTACACAAGTATCCAAATACAGACTACAGTATAAATATTAAAATAAAATAGTATAACTTACTAATATTATAACTTGATTTATGTATATCAAACTTACTTCTGAATATTACAATACTGAACGAGATCTGATGCAACAACGACAACAACAGCAAAAGAACAAGAAATGAAAATAATGCAACGAAAAGATACTATTCAGTACGAGCTTGCACACACGGTCGGCGACAAGCGTATAGGTCCTATCTATCAATCGATTCTGGATAACACAAATTGCAAATAAGATAACGCAGCGATATTCTACACCAAAATAACCCAACAGTTTTAGTCGTTTTAGATAGCTATATTATAGACAGTCTATCTACTCTATCTACATCGTTTAATTATTAGAAAACCCGTAATAAAATATTTATTTAACATTTAGTAACTTATTTTTTTGTTCTGGGGGGGTGTGAACCCGACCCCCCCCACCCGTAAATACACCACTGACTGATATCGATTCACCTCGTAGATCGATCAACTCCTTGTTCTGATTTTTAAAATTATACTCGCATACGTTATAGATGTAGAATTGATAGGATAAAATACCAAATGTGTTGGTACTTCTATTATTTTATAGCCTGCAGGTATGATTGGGTAAAACTCGTGTATTGTATGACACGACTTTCCGTTATTGAATGAACCCGCAGCTAGGTTTGAATCGATATATATAATTTGTTTTGGTAATATTTACCAACGTATCCGATTGGTGTTTAATATTGGCTTCATAAATTTGATTTTTGAAACCCAATAACTCGCCTATACTATTCGGTATATTAGATATCATTTCACATTTTAATGTGTTATTATTGGCCTTCAACTCAAATGTTACATGACTTTGCAATACATGTTTTATTACTGTTTCGATTTCATTTAATTTATAAGAACCTGTAGGTATTGTATAAACGTCGCTGATCAGTTCATTTAATTTGTTATAGTATGTGAAACCTATTTTATTACATTTTTCGTTTATATTAGGAATAGAATTATTTGTCTGTAAACCTAGCAAGCAGATCTTAGCATTTTTACTGACTTCTATCGGTAGGAAAAAGTTACAAGACAATTCACTAGAGTTTCCGGTTAAGGTTATGGTGTACATGACAAAAATTTTAAACACAAGTGCCCACAGTTTGTCGTATTGTATTTTTGATGTTTGTCGTAATTATATTCGATATTACATCCGTCGAAATATTTTTGTATTTCTAACGGTGGTGGTAAATTTCCAAAACTATCATAATATTTAACTTGTTTTCCGATTTTCTTATACGCTATCCAATGAGTTCCTGCACTGATTTCGACGTCCAAGTTAATAACAGCCGACTCTTGATTTTTCGAACGTTGAGGTAACTTGTCTCTAGCAAATACACCAATGAAATGAGGTATTTTCAATATGTCAGCGTATTTTATAACCTCATAATCGTACAGCGCTCTATCGGGTAACGTGGAAATTAGATTTTTGTCATTTTTCTAGTTTTCTTTACTGATTCAGCACTTTTGTATGGTCTCAGGTATAAACCTTTTCCTTTAACAATTGTATATAATCCACCTTTGTGTGGTGCAAGATATAATCCTTTTCCTAAATGAACAGGTGTGTTTTTACCGGAATTTAATTCATTTACGACTTTTACTATATTACCAACGCCACCGGTAAGTGCGCCTAATGCCGACAAACCAGCGAAAATTGGTATTAACCCTTTTTCAGTATGGCTATAACTCTTGGAGTTTTAGTTTTCTTATTTTTAGTTTTTGCAGCTGTAAGACATGTTTTTATTATCTTGCTTATATTCTATCGTTCATTTTATTTTGATCGATTTTTAGCTGCTAAAACCATATGTTTAAAACGCATCCGGCGCCCATCTTGCGTTTAGCCTTCATAGCTGTAGTGACCAACTAAGACGCTGCTTTTCCTTGATACCAGTGTTTTTAGATTTAAACAATTCCCAAACTTGATTTTCCAATATTTCGTCATCTGTATGTAAATTACTTTTTTCGTATGCTATATCGTGAGCTCTAGCCAACTCGTCAAGACTGTTTATACCTCGTTCACCGCTGCTAATCTTTTTAATTTATATCAAACAACAAATTTAAACATATAAAATATTTTTAGATAGATTTAATAATTTATGATATGTTTGCTGCACCAGTGTCAAATGTAATTCCACCGGTAAATGATTTATAACATAGAGTTGATGAAGACTCGGAACCCTTATTGTTGTTTCGTTACGTGACGAGATCGTGGATAGCATCCATTACACATCATCAGTATTTATAAAATGCGGTTTATCGAGCTTAGAGAAAAATCATACCCTATAACATTGATACCCGGATACAATACAGTTAAGACATGCAAGAGCCATTTCCAAATACTATACGTTCATTAGTGTTGCAGTTCTTACAGATAAACGACTTGATATATTTCTACCGTTGACGAAAACGGTTTGCGATTTTAAAATGTTTATATATACTCTAAAACGTTAGAACACCAAAATATAAATTATTAAAACGTATAATCGATTTATATTGATGGTGTTACGATTTACATTTTACGAAAATGATAAAGTCACTTCACCTGAAAGTCTTACCAAACTCTATATATTCATCATGTCGATGTTATTGGAGAACAACAAATGTAATAAGAGAATTTTTCCCGAGACGTCATAATTAAATAGATATATTTTATCTGGCTCAAAGTTAATCAAAAGTTCCAAAGCAGTTGATCCGGAGCCAATGCAAATTTGCACAATACATTTAAACAAGATGAGACCAATTTAAAGACGCATACAGTGAACACTGTTCAGGCGATATGAGCAGGTCATATATACAATTTAAACATTTCTGCGATGGCTGTTGAAACTGTGATAGATTTGCATTCGTATATTTGTAAATAGAGAGCGTGAGGTGGACGTTATCGATTGATTTGATACATATGTGTTTTATAAGTCAAAGTATAAAATAAAATTACTCATTTAAAACACAGTGCAATGAAAGAGAAGTAGTATTTTAGTGAGTTAGTCAAGGCTAAAGAAAACATTAAACGTAAATATATCGGCATTAAAACGGTGAAGTAATACCACAGTTACCGACACAATCATTAAACCACCAGTTGATCCATTAACAAAATATCGAATACAATTCCTGTACGTTATCGAACAAAATAACGAAATCGAATAAATCTAATGAAAAACTATCAACAAGAATTTGAAAACTGGTTTACCTTGTAGATTTAGATAAAACCCATGGTTCAAAACCAGAGGAGAAATTATCTTAGGTGAAAGAAAAGTGAAATTCTATTGAAAACTCTATTTTATTGATGGTACCATTTATCTATCAACTCGGTCTCATACAGTTATTATTTTAAAAATCCTTTATTTATTCCGATAACAATCTAGAAGTATATAAAGCTAAGCTTAATTCAGACATCACACACTGACTTTGGATTGAAAACTAAAAAGTGGTTTTAAATATAGACATAATACGTAAATTATTTCCCTCTTGGTGGTCGACTATTTATGAAATTACAGAAAAATAACTTAGTGTATTGGGACAATCCGAATGAGTTAGTCGTTCGATTGTGATTACTTTTGCTTCTTGAAAGTTAACCAATACAGGTGTTCCAATGAAATTATATCGATTTTCGAAGAATTACTTGAAGCCGGACTAATAAAACGAATACCAAATGCTCTAAAACGTGAAATCGCTATTGAAACTGGCTACATAAACTGTCAAGGAAGAGTTATTTCGTTAGGCGGCAGTCACATATAGAAAAATGATTTAGTACGTAACCGAACGAAGTAATAACAGC